AATGATTTTATTCTGTGCCACTGTATTAAAAAAAAATAGTGCTAGTTGCACCAATACTTCAAGGATGGACGCTGCTCCAGTGTAAGCGGCATGATCCATTGCTCAGTCTTTTACATAGAAGCCTGAGGCCCTTTGTGATGTTTTTCACGGGTCACTTTTCTCCTTACAAAGCCACAATAACATTTTGTATGAAGAAAGGTATCCCCTGTGTTAAGGGAATGCTGCAGAAAGCCAGATTTTCCTTACTATAAGAGTCATGAAGACAGTACTTCTGCAAGGAACTGTTTTAGAAAACCTCAAGTCACTGGAAATTAATGTAAGTCACTGGAAATTAATGTAAAACTTCCAAATGAACAGTCTGATCCCCCATACATTTTTGCTTCATAACTTACTCCACAACTAGACATGTCTCTTGCTTTGGCCCAATTCAATTATGTTCCAAAGTATCAAAAAATTCAGCAACTGAAAGCCCGTTTCAAAAATCTGTTTTCTTATGATCTTAATGATACAAAGGGTAACTTACCTTTGCACTTTATACTGATTCTTCTCACAAGTAGTGTCTTGCATATTAATATTTAGAAATACAGGTCTAACTAAGCAAAACTGTACTATGCAGTTGTTTTCCATATTCTTTACACAAATTCAAGGTTTTAGATACAAAGGGTAACTTACCTTTGCACTTTATACTGATTCTTCTCTCATATAGTCTTCTCTCAAATAGTGTCTTGCATATTAATATTTAGAAATACAGGTCTAACTAAGCAAAACTGTACCATGCAGTTGTTTTACACATTCCTTAAACAAATTCAAGGTTTTCAAAGCTTCCAACCTAACCCACCGGAACGACTGAATATAAAAAGGAAAAGGCACAGACCAGTGGAGGTCAACTGCTTTGCAAAGACTTTAGATATGGTTATCAAGAGGAACAGAGTCAATGTTCTAATCTGTGCTACAGGTATACATGGGCACAGAAAATGAATATCCCAAACTCATTCAATTCTGACAACGTAAAGGCCCAAAGACTATTGTTTACTAACACTGGGAGAGAATTCTGTGTGTTGCAGAAAATTACTGGCCATTAACTCATCCAGGGAAAGCAGGCGCTCATTAACAGAGACGAACAAATAAAAGCAAAGATACTGTATGATCACTTATGAGCCACCTGCTCATGTATTAATTCTGAAAACAAAAGGTAGAGTAGCAAGGGATACCTGATGCTGAGAGCTAGCCACCCTATGGAATTTCTCAGTTATGTTCCTAGAGCAGCTGAAAACATACAAGGATATACTGGCACTTAAATCTTAAAACACATTTTCTATGAAGCATCCCACTGAGCTTGATGGTGCTTCTTTCTGAGTAGGTATAATTAACATTTTAACTGTGGACACCTGCAGCAACTTCCCGCAGTTAAGCAAGAGCACCACAAAGGGTTCTGGCCAACATGCATCACACTGCAGTTAATGGCTTTACAAAGTCACAACAGAAAGAAGTTCCAAAAGCAACACACCAAGCTGGCAACGTAGGAACTTAATTCCTGTTGGTTTAAATATCTTATTATATGCTTACTTGGAAGCAAGTCCCATTGAAGTCAACAAGATGTATTTCTCAAGAAGCATGATAAATGTGTTTAGGATTGGGTGCCTCTCAGTCATCTCTGAAAATACTGCTCTGAGAAAGCACTTTCCTCAAGTATGGATTCTCTTCTGGAAGACTAAAAGGTATAGAATAATTTTTAAACCTTTTAGCAGCATCAAAAGAGTTCTATTAAAATTGTGGTGTTTTGACTCAGATCTAGATTTCAACAGCAAGAAAACCCATTTTCTCCTTTAAAGCCATAGGATCCCCCCCTCCTTTCTCAAAAGCCAGAACTTGATGTGCCAAGGGGCATAAGGTTTCTGCCCAAAACAGCAGTTGTGGTCTGTTTCCTCTTCAAATAATGCCTAACACAAAACACAGCAACCAATGAAGTAGAATGTGACCAAGGAAACACTTTCATACTAATAGATAGTTCCTTCTGGCTGTGCCAGTTTACCATCCCTGAATACAGGGATGGACACATTCCAATTGCATTCTCTTCTGTAAATTACGATTTTACTTCTTTCTCTACCAATAAGAAATAAAGCCACTACCATCCAGAAGACAAACTTGTAACTAAGGGCTGGTCATGAACTCAACCACAGGAAACGACCACTATACAGGCAGCACACCTATAGCCCAAAGCTGCTTAATGTCCCAAATGTCTATCCTTGGCCCAGGGTAGTTATCATCTTCTTTGCTCACTTTCCCTCCTTCTCAGGATGTCCATATTAAAACAGACCACAGCAGCAGGCAGGTGGTGACAGCATTCTACACTGATGACCAAATGCTGAGCAATAGATCCATGGTGCAGACACCTTGGATTTTGAGCCAAGCCATTGGAGCTCTCTGACCGGGGAGGGGGGGGGAGAGAAAAAAGTCTGGCACCAGGACTGGTCATGAAGTGGGCACGCAAGCAGAATTTAGTTAACTGCACAGGGGCTGCCTTGCAATTGTTATGGTCTCTGAGAGAACTTGCCCTTGAACCTAACCTGCTCGAGAAACTAAGTTTGAAATTCCAGACATTAGCTCTATGCCCAGAACAGGGCATTTTATGCAACTGTGGGACAGTATGAGCTGTGAGAAGTGTAGCTCACCCTCTCCCTCTTTTAGACACTGACTAATATTGTCTACTGCTAAGCAATGCTTGATGGTGAGAGATGTTACAGCTTATCCCTCTGCAGCCGTTGGTGGTGTGGGGCTGTATCCAGAGACTTGCAGGGTGAGGACCCAGGTCCAGTCCCCATTTCTTCCTTGCTGCAAAAGCAGAGGTCATGCTCAAGTTGTGGTTTCTTTATACAGGAGTTCCAAGATGGGGAAGGTTGTTTTTTTCCTTTTCATTACAGTAGACACCAAGCTCTGATCTAATTGTTCAAGAAGGATATTGGTCTAAGGATTGCAGTTTTTTAGCCCGACGTCTTGGAAAAGGGAGGTATAAAACTCCGGCTCCAGCTGTTTGTTCCTGTATTTATTGACAATGTCCGCTATTTTCTGTTTTCGGCGGACATGAGGAGGATTGTACGAGTCACTTTCCAGCCTTTTTCTTCGACAAATGTTTATTACAGTCTGTCTCACTAAGAAACCTTCGGGGGGAAAAAAGAAGTTAACAGCCAAGTTAACAATCCTGGGAACATTACTTTTAAAGACAGCTTGAGGCCAAAAGAAAATATTCTTAGCTCGCTCAAGTCAGTATGACTTGTGAGGGTTTGGATACTTATCACAATTGTCAGCCTTAAAGTAACCACTTAAATGTTAAAGTCCTATTTATACTTTTGGAGGGTTTCATTTGCGTGCAGAGTAATTGGAATCATATCATCCAGCTCAGTGTCCCTTCTAAGCTGAGATAGTGTGAGCTAGCTCACAGTTTTTTAGCCTCCAGCTCACACATTTTTTGTCTTCACTCAGGAAGGGTGGCTCCAGAGCAAACTGACTTAGGCAGTAGCCAAATTGCTCGCTCACCACTTTAATGCCAGAAGCTCACAAAGTAGAATCTTTCGCTCACAAGACTCCACAGCTTAGAGGGAACATTGATCCCACTCCATTTTGGTGCGGGGGACCTAAGCTCCCCCACCACAGCTCATATTTTTTCCTCTCCCCCTTGGATAACTGGGTAAACAGAAAAGAAATCAAAAGTGTTATATCAGCACACTACCATCTCCCTGGCCACCAGCTATGCTTCCTCTAGACACAGCTAAAATTTGAGTCCCTCAGCCTCCATCTCCTAGGCTACTCTCCTTCACTGAAATACTTCCACAGGAAGAGCTTTTGAACAAAGGGGGGGGGAGTACTTTTCTAAGTAGAACAAGAGATTCGAGGGAGAATCTTTGAGGTGTATCCTATCACTTATTAGTGGAGCAGAACTGTGCTTGTGTAATCAACAAATGTTCCCAATGCAGCCTGTTGTATTCCAAAAATCATGCCCAAAGGGTCAGTATTTCCCCAGGAACAGGGTGGGGGAAGGCCTGCAGTGGGAGGGGGGAAAGGGAACCCACCCTTTTATGATGGCAGAAGTGTCTTCCACCAGCTAAAACATGGTTCGGATCCACCCTATTCCACTGCATTAGTATCCTAAGCCAGACAAGTAAACTGTTAACAGGTTCCAAGACCTACCTAGAGCTCTTCTGCTCACTATCATCCCATCCACCAGCGGGATGACCATGTTGAATTTCCCAGTAGCTCCTTGCACTTTTACCCTAAATAGGCCAGTGTTTAAAGGATGGATGAAGATCACTGGAACTTCTTTTTCAGGAGTAGAGGATCTAAAACACATAAGAGTTAATTTAAAGATCAAAGATATTGCACTAGCATTGCCATTTTTTAAAAACAGAAAAAAATATATAAGAATTGACGTATATTTATTTTCCTTGGCACAAATGTTCTTCATTTACTTGGCAAATTCATGTCTTACTTTTCTATTTAACTTTAGGCAGATTACAACAAAAAACCCCACACCTAAACTTAAAAACAAAACAAAAAAACCTAGCATCAAGCAACAAAGTAACACACTAAGACAGTAATAATCAGCAGGAGAAAATTTAAGACTAACAAAAGAAACTCCAAATCAATAAAAGTAGGGAATAAAGCCGATCACAGCATCAACAGTAAGACAGAACTAGAAATAAGATTTAAAAGATCAGGAAAGGAAACACTACGCACTTTCCAGAATATATGTGTAAAAGGACTTGACCAATCTCGAGTGAGGGAGCATGATGAGTTAGGGAATTCCACAGTCTGCGAGCTCTGGCTAAAAAGCTCTGCCCTGAATATCCACCACCCTCACTTCTCCTCGTGTAAGTATGTATAGCAGGGCACCAGAATCAACATCTCAAAACATGAGCAGATTTACAGGACTGATGTGGTCCTTCAGGCACTTGGGTCCCAAGTCATTTGGGGCTTTAAAGATCAACATCAATACTGTGAACTGGGCCCAGGAACAAATGGTCAGTCACTGCCACTGGGTCACGATTGGCATTAGAAGATTGGCACCCCACAGTGAACTCCAATTAGAACCCTGGCACTCACTATTACAAACTACATTTTCCAGCCATTTTACAAAGGCAGTCCCCCTACAGAACTCAGTGTATTAGTCTGACTACTGGTATAAGTAACCTCTAGGTGACGTAGTGACAATGCAACTGGCCCCGAGGAAAGTTCGTAAAATAGCATGTAACATATACCTGTTGGTGGGAAGCTTGATGTGACTAGCAGACAAGAGAGCTGAAACAGGCTCATGTATGTTGTGGTCATTACACTGCAGTTCCCTAGGGCTCATGCTTGGTGAGTACAAGTGGGAACATTGTGCACCCAACCACACAACCTTGGCTCACCAATAGTGGCCGCAACAACTCTCAGTCTCTAAGGTTCCAAAGCATACTTCTCAGATTACAACAACTGTTGGGGCTATGATCTATGGGAACCCAAGCTCACATGGTACATTACTCCTGCCAGTAGACAGATTCCATGACTGAAGAAAACAGAAGAACATAATCTATTAATCAGATCTCAGAAAATATTTGCTAACAGAAGAGAAATCCAGTTATACCTCAGTGAAGTGCTGCTGTTTGCAGTTGTTTCTACTCCAGTACTGGTCTCTGATCCCACGTCAGAGAGAGGGAAGTTCTCTGCAAGACAAAGATGTTCACAGTATGGTCAACTGTATTACTTTTGTCAGGAACCAAGGAAAGGTACAAAGAACACAGTACCAAAAAACTAAATCAACAAGTGTCTAGTATTCAAATATAAAGAATTCTCCCTTCTCTTATTACCCAGTCAGGTGGAAACACAACTCTAAGACTTACACACCTATATCATCGTAGCGTTCGACCCAGACCACATACACCTTGGTTTCAGGTCCCATTGGGGGAACAGCCCGACCCTGAGGCAACCTCTTTGATCTGGAAGTAGGACTGAGCTGCTGCAAATAGAAAATACACAGGTGTTTGTCAATTAAAGCATCTGTACATTGAATTAATTCATTCATCCCTATTTCAGAAGTCTTTAAGATAACTTAACAGCAACTTCTTTCCAGCCTCCGTCCTGAACACTTCACTGGTAATGGAAGATGTCCAGGCTTGGGCCCCTGTTTTAGAGTTGTTACTTAGGTTCGCCAACAATCAATGCATTTTCTGGGGAGAGTTTCCTACGTGCTGAATGCTTCATAAATGACAGCTCTCTATGACAGAAGCAGAACCTAAGAGGGTTGAGGGCAAATGAGCCACGGAGTACATTTACTACCTAGAAAAGACCTACTGTAATATGTACCTAAAAATTAACTTTGATTTCTGAATATTGTAACTGTCATGAAAGCCACAGCGTGATTACGTCTAACCATCAGAGCTTAAAGGAGGAAGCTACCCTCACTGGTTAGAGAATGTCTTACCCTTTGTGAAGAATTGAGATTGTCTGTATGATTGGGAAAGAGCTCGAGGGTCAGTGCTGGCTGCTTTGTAACTCCAGGTAGGAGATCCATATTAGAGTCACTCTCCTGGTCAGAGACACTGCTTTCTAATGAATCAGCTAAAAATAAAAAATAAAAAAGGGGATGTCATAGCCAAGTAGTGTGTAAACAGCAATCACCTTAAGCTGTCATCATCACACAGCATCTTTCAAACCGTACTTTCCCACAATTAAGCCAATGCATTTGTGAACAGTGCTACAGTGGCCAGTCTTCTGTACATAACCAGCCTATTTCTTCCATCAATCACAAAGTATTTCAGAAAATGCACACCAGACATATCCAACTACCCCCGACTCTATTGCATATGAGTTTAATTTTAATGCATTGGTGGATAGAAATTCTGCATGAAACAGTAATGTCTTATTAGGTAATATCTCCCCACTGGAAGCACACAAAGCATTCATATCTAAAGATCTGATGGTCAATGAGAGAGTCATTCCACTGAGAACAAAGAGGTAGATACCACCAGGGTTTCGTTTCATTTGGGTGTGATACTTTGTCATACAAGAGTTAAGGACTTTTGGCCAATTGAGAAAGCAAATACACTATGTGGATGTACTGGAGAAGTTATGAGAAGAAAGGCCATTTGTCTCAATTACAGAATGTACTGGCAGGACTAAGTAACCAAAAACCCTTTTACAAATGTATTTGGAACAGGGATATTGGTACCGAAATTTCCAAAAGAACTCGGAGGGAAATTTATGAGGCAATTAAAGTAGTTTATTTTATGTTCAGCTCCTCAGAGAAAGACGCAATACAAGATTTTTAAAAAATCAATTTAAGTCTTGCCAGGTTAAACACAAGTTTTAGAACAGCTAGGTTTAAATACTGGCAGTGACAAGATGAAAGTGCAGCCTCTGGTCATTTACAGTGGAAACAGCTCATATGCCCAAATACACTTGAATGCAAATTGCTGGGATAGTCATTTTTCAAATAAAGAGGATTTGTCTGAAATCCGATGTGTTAACTTGTAACTTCAACTACTAGTTGCTATTACTGCAGAGCCCACTGACTACTGAAAGGCTGTATTCACACGTTATTGAGCAACAGCATCAATTCCCACTTTGAAAATGTTTAATAAAGAGTCTTGGATTTAGCAGAAATTGGTGTATGTTAACGGATAAAATACAGAATAGGAATAGCTGTGTTGAAAAGTAAGCTTGGTGAAAAATAGAAATTGTTTATCATTCATTGGATGAATTAATATTCTACTGCACAGATTTATTTTTTTGTGCTAAGCACCTAAATAAAACAGAAAATGAAAATGTGTACTTGCTACAACTCAAGGTAAGCTGCAGGACGGTATACATAAACATGGAATACTTTGAGATCTGCCTCTGTCTAGGAAGTTTTGGTGCTCCTTTAAGGGCTGAGTTGAATTTAATTGTAGAAGTACACATTAGAAACTTCAAGTGTACCACACAATACATGAGGTGGGGTCACACAACGTTTGGCCATGTGCATACTGTACACATCCATTGGAAAGCAGCAGCATTTCCAGCTTCCCACAGTGCATTTCCACAGTGTCTGTGTGTGTGTGGGGGGAATATGTAGCTGTGACGGACAGCCCTTCAAACAGGTTTCAAAATGCTGCACTATAAAAGTACCAGGAGGTGAAGAGTTAAATCTCCTCCAGAATGGAGAGCTTTGAGTGACAGGCCACACCAAACAGTCTTATTGGCCAGCTCCAGTTAAGGGCAGAAATTTTTATTACCTGGGGGCTGAGGGGGAATGGCCATTCTGACAGATTCCTGAGCTGAGAGAGACGACTCTGTACCTTAACTGTTGAGAATCTGCTCTGAGGAAGAATTCAATGGAAGAACTGAGAGTCTGAGTCTCAGACTATGCTGAAAGCAATTTTACAGAGACACAAGAACTGGGAATGAGATTTGGCAAGGTGGTCGGGTAATGAGATGAGACTCCCATTCAGGCCAAAGGAGAGGGGATACTTCTTCTATGGAAATAAGAAGAATCGCTGCCCAGTTAAACAGGGAGAGTTATCTCTGGGAGGAGGAGATCCCTGATCTGTTGTGAATGGAAACTGCTTGAGACGCCCCAAGAGCCAGATAGAAATTAGGGATTAAAAGGAAGGGAGTTAGGTACTGAAAGAAGGTACCAGCCTCAAGGAAATAAGAGGAGAAATTGGAAACTCTATTAAGAAGCATTGTAGTGTTTGGAAAACACAGGGGGAAAGCCTCTTAATATGAGGATCTCAATAGCTAAGGAAATAATCTTCAATAACTCTCCTTTGCCTGTCCTGTATAAAGAATTACAGTCTGTACAACCACTGATTTTTGCCTCGAAGTTAACAACTCCTGATTACACCTGACCTTCCCCTCTTTTAAATAAAATCTTTTGTTCTGTTTGACTTTTACAATCGTCTCAAGTATCATTTGAAAAGTTCAACCCAAGAGGGCTCCTTATTCTTCCCTCAGGTTCCAGAGCTGGGCTAAAAGCCAAATTATATCTCTGTGACGGGGTGGGATAGACAGTCTTTTGAAAGACAAAGAAGAACACCACGTTACTTGGGACGGCTCAGTCACAGAAGGGAACTTGGAGGGGAAAAACTACCTCTGAGGGAGGGAAGTGTGAGGGGCCGTCACAGTAGCTGACTCAATTACAAGACCAAAGTGGACTCACACTAAACGTTTAACACACACAGACACTTCCACTGCAAAGTAGTATGCAGTTCTAATGTGAACACTGAAATAACTCTGAATCTTTTACATAAAGACACATGCAGACATTACTTACTCAAGGACTCCAGAGGTGAGGGGACAACAAAAGCTATTTCTGTAAGCGCATCTGCATAATATAGCACCTTTTTTTGTCCATTGAAGATACTTGCCCCAACATCTTCTGAAGAGATTATTTCATCTGAGAAGGAAAAGCAAACAAAAATGAAACTTAAGGGATGGTCTTCTTGTTTCTTATGACATCTACCCATCAAGCAGTGTTACTCGAACTATTTGAACTTGGAGCCTACTCCACCTCCAAAACTTACTCTACCTGTTAAGATCGTCACATGCAGTCATCTGCATACCAGCTACTGCTTCATACAAGGATCTGTGGATGAGGATACTAACTCTAGCACCTACATGAGAAGAACAGACCAGGATCTCGCCAATGCGTTCCTAAACCATGTATAGGAAAACATAAGCACAAAGCGCCAACCTTTTGAGCCCTCTTCTCCCCAAATCACATTGGGTTAATGGGACAATAGGAACACAAGAGAACATAAGAACATAAGAGAAGCCAATGTTGGATCAGGCCAATGGCCCATCTAGTCCAACACTCTGTCACACAGAGGCCAAAAATACCAGGTGCCATCACGAGGTCCACCAGTGGGGCCAGGACACTAGAAGGACCCTCCCAGGCACCAAGAAGACAGAGCATCACTTGCCCCAGAGCCCCTATCTATACCTTGTGGCTAATAGCCACTGATGGACGTCTGCTCTATATGCTTATCTAATTCCCTTTTGAAGCCGCCCATACTTGTCGCCGCCGCCACCTCCTGTGGCAGTGAATTCCATGTGTTAATCACTCTTTGGGTGAAGAAGTACTTCCTTTTATCCGTTCTAACCCGACCGCTCAGCAATTTCATTGAGTGCCCACGAGTTCTTGTATTGTGAGAAAGGGAGAAAAGTACCTCTTTCTCTACCTGCTCTTTCCCATGCATAATCTTATAAACCTCAATCATGTCACCCCTCAGTCGTCGTTTCTCCAAGCTAAAGAGCCCTAAGCGCCTTAACCGTTCCTCATAGGGAAAGTGTTCCAACCCCTTTATCATTCGAGTTGCCCTTTTCTGCACTTTTTCCAAAGCTATAATATCCTTTTTAAGGTGTGGTGACCAGAACTGCACACAGTATTCCAAATGAGGTCGCACCATTGATTTATATAGCGGCATTATGATATTGGCTGATCTGTTTACAATACCCTTCCTAATAATCCCCAGCATAGCATTGGCCTTCTTTATTGCAGTCACACACTGTCTCGACATTTTCAGTGAGTTATCCACTACAACTCCAAGATCTCTCTCTTGATCAGTCTCTGCCAGTTCAGACCCCATCAACGTGTATTTATAGTTAGGATTTTTGGCTCCAATGTGCATCACCTTGCACTTGGCCACATTGAACCCCATTTGCCATGTTGACGCCCACTCGCCCAACTTTGACAGATCCCTTTGGAGTGCCTCACAATCCTCACTGGTTTTCACCACCCCGAACAACTTTGTATCATCCGCAAATTTAGCCACTTCACTGCTTACTCCCATCTCCAAATCATTAATGAACAAGTTAAAAAGCAGTGGACCAAGTACTGATCCCTGTGGTACCCCACTGCTTACACCCCTCCACTGGGAGAACTGCCCATTTATACTCACTCTCTGTTTTCTATTAATTAGCCAGTTTTTGATCCATAAAAGGACTTGTCCTTTTATCCCATGATTTTTGAGCTTGCTTAGGAGCCTTTGATGAGGAACTTTATCAAAAGCTTTCTGGAAGTCAAGGTAAACAATATCTATTGGATCCCCCTTGTCCACATGTTTGTTCACCCCCTCAAAGAACACTAACAGGTTAGTGAGACAAGATCTTCCCTTACAGAACCCATGTTGAGTCTGCCTCAATAGGTTTTGTTCATCTATGTGCCTACTAATTCTTTCCTTAATAATGGTTTCCACCAATTTACCCGGTATCGACGTCAGACTGACTGGCCTGTAATTTCCCGGATCTCCTCTGGAACCCTTTTTAAAGATGGGAGTGACATTAGCTACCTTCCAGTCCTCAGGAATGGAGGCTGATTTTAAGGAGAGATTACATATTTTTGTCAGGAGATCCACAAGTTCACAATTGAGTTCTTTCAGAACTCTTGGATGTATGCCATCTGGGCCTGGTGATTTATCAGTTTTTAAGTTGTTTATCAGTTTTAGGACCTCCTCTCTCGTCACCTCAATCTGACTCAGGTCTTTCAACACCCCTCCTGAAATCAGTGGTTCTGGAGTGGGCAAGCACTTTTCAACTTCCACAGTGAAGACAGAGGCAAAAAAAAAAATGCATTCAGCTTCTCAGCCATTTCCCTACCATCCTTCACTACTCCTTTTACCCCTTGGTCATCCAAGGGCCCCACTGCCTCCCTGGCTGGTTTCCTACTTCTAATGTATTTGAAGAAAGTTTTATTGTTGGTCTTTATGTTTTTCGCTATATGCTCCTCATATTCCCTTTTTGTCTGCCTGATCGCAGACTTGCATTTTATTTGCCACAGCCTGTGTTCCCTTTTATCAGCCTCACTGAGACTAGCTTTCCAATGCTTAAAGGAATCCTTTTTACCTATAAGGGTGCAGCCACTCCCTACAAACTCAGTGGGGCTCAGCAACAGGTCAGCTGCCAGGGGCATTACATCTAGATCTTGGTCGGAAAAGGAAGGAAGGCATTACCTGCTTCCAGGTCCAGTCCTCTTTGGAACTTCACACTTCACTGTAGGTGTGCTCCCATGCCCACAAAGGCATACTGTCATAGTTAGATAACTATGTTCTCTAGGGTGACTTCAGATGCAGAGTTCTGACTACTATAATTCATCTGCTGCCTAGTCTGTTCAATTTTAGGCACCAGGTAAAAACATTCTTTCCCACACCCCCAAGATCTTACCTGTTTCATTTACACCACCACTTTACTGATATTGCATTAGCTGAGTTTAGATTCTATTGTTTTTTAAGCTAGTACTTCATCTGATTTAATGCTATGCTATTAATTTATTGTTTGCTTATCTATGCATTTTAAAAACCTATTTTAATTGCTGTTTCTATGTTTACATTGGCATCCACCTTGGAAACCCTTGTCAGGGTAAAAGTATAAGAACAAATAGGACCAAATAAGATGCCCAACACATCCTTAAGGAATAACACGTGACAACGGTCATCGCACATTCAAAACTGACACTGGTAATGCTCATCAAGAATTTTTGGTTAATTGAAAAAGAATCTGAAGACTGCCAATATCATTAGCTATTAACAGAAGATGTCTGCAACAAATAGATGATTTTGTAGTGTTTGACAAACAGCATTATACACTGCCACGGCTCACTCAACCTTTCAACAGAGCCACTTCCACCCTCTCGCCTCCCTTTTCCTGTCCTAACATGACTCATCCACTCCCTTTCCCCACCACTGTTACTGCCTAGAAACCTGTGGAATCCCAAAGGGAAAAGTATCAGCCTCTGCCCTTGCGACAGCCCCTCACAGGGTCCTATTTCTGCACAGCCTGGAAGCCATAAGAGTCCATGGGATTACTCCTATACAAATAAGCCATGCTGCCCCCATAATCCCCCCCCCCAGCTTGTTCAAAAATATATTTGTAACCATCAGTGGCTGCAATCTTGCAGACCTCAGCATGTGAATACTGAAGGCACTGTAAACTGGGAACAGAAAGAACCTTGGGCAGGGAAGAAAAATGATGGAGACCTCAAAATAGCAAGAGGTGGTAATGAACCTCAGTAGTGCCCTCCAATGTTTCCTCTAAGCTGTGGAGCAAAAATTCTGCTTTGTGAGCTACTGGCATTAAAGTTGTGAGCGAGTGATTTGGCTACTGCATAAATTAGTTTGCTCTGGAGCCATCCTTCCTGAGCTAAGACAAAAAAGTGTGAGCGGGAGGCTAAAAAAAGTGACCTAACTCACACTAACTCAGCTTAGAGGGAACATTGGTGCCCTCCCCACTGCAATGGTAATAGGGTGTGGGCAAATGCATTTTCCTAAAGCCACTGGAAACCTCAACGGCAGAGAGCAGTGTGAGGCCCAGGCTCCGTCGAGGGAGGGAGGCCTCCAGTCGCCGTAGTCCTGTTGGGCGGACACGGGGAATGGCCCTGGCAGCGGGGCGGAATAAGAAGAAAAGAGGCAAAAGGAGACCTGTCAGGCAGGGGACAAGGTTAGCAGCGCCTTAAGCGTCCCTCTGACTGCACAAACTAGACCTTAAGCCACAAGGGCTGCGGGGCTTCCTTCAGAGCGTTCCCTCTCTCTCAGTGTGTCTGTCTACCTCAGTCTTGTCTGTGTCTCTGTCCTCCTCGACCTCCTGCCTCCTCTCCTTCTTATACCCACACCCCACTCCCAGCACCCGTCCATTCCGTGCTCCATCCCCCTCCCTGTGAAGCCCCACCCCCTTCATAATGCTCAACGCTGTAGGTTTAGCTAGGGTGGAGTCTTCTTCCGGCCGCCGGCCGCAGGGTGAAAGGGCTGTGAGCGATACAGTGCTTTTCGTCTCGTCTCCAGCTGCGCCTCTTCACCGCCCCTCTTCTGCTGTGCTCCATGGCCCTCTAGGTCACCTTCTTGCCCAGCCATCTCATTCTCCGAGCCAGGGGAATGTCTGGGCTTTGTCATCTTCCCTATGGTGCTTCTCTTGCCCCAGGTGCGGTTCCTCCCCCCGGGACTCCTCCGGCGGCAAGGGGCTTTCCTCAGGTGTGTGCCATGTCTTTGGGATGTTGCGGTAGGGACCGCCCCCCGTCCCGGGAGGCCGGGAGCTTGAACCGGGTGACCGGGACAAGCAGCATTCAGCTGGTAGCCTTGTGCCTGTCAGAAAGGGAACTGTCTAGGTTCTTTTGTTAAAGGCAATTTAACACCTCTGCTGGGGCTGGAGGAAGGAAGCCTGCAGCCAGTAAAAGTCTTTTACAACAGACTACTTCTTTCCCCTAATGTTAAAAGGGAAAGTAAGAATAGGACGCAGGAAGTGAGATGAGGGGGCAGCTGAAAGATGGTAAGTGGAGACGGGGAGGTGGGGAATAGGAGGCAGCTGGGTGGAATCAGATAGGCAAAGGACTATTTTCTCCCCCTGGTCCCTTCCCAAGATTTATTTGTGGCCCCTTGCTTGTATTCTTTATCATTATTTCTAGAAAAAGCTTCAGGTGGTTGCTTTTTTTTTTGTTTAAAATCAGTCTGTGCTTTGCAGGCACTTTCCCTATATTACTGAATAACTGAGACTAGCCTAGTTTATATTTTCCTTTTTTTCCCCTTCTCACTTATCACTACTGCCCAGATTCCATAAATAGTTCTTTTCCGTGATGGAAACATTTTTTGTTATGAACCATGGCTTCCCGATGCTGACGTTACCTTCCAAATACATAGAGAAAATATGCACACAACACAATGCATTAGCCAGACTGTAACAGGAAAGATTTTCCCGTGTCTGAAAGTCCCTTGCTGTTAAAGAGTCTTGATTAGAACGAAGGCAGTATTCAGTGCAAAACAGACATGTGTTATGTGAAAAAAATGTTATAGCAAATGCTCTTAAAGTGCAAGGACATCATAAAGACACAGAGGTATTAAAGCAAACAGAGCTCTCCCTGAAAGCCTCTCACCTTGTTCAATTCCCTCGTCATCAGAGAAGCTGTTAATGGACCAACTAGTTGAAACATGCCCAGTCCATCCAGGGTGTTTTCCTACATCAACTGACCAACCAAGAGACAGCAAGAACTCTAGGTAGTGTGGCTGAACACTCCTGGAAGACTCTGCATTCTTCAGGATCTAGAAGAAAAATGACGAGCATTGCAGTGAGAACAGATGGCTAGGCAGGAAATCCCTTACTGAAGCCTCAAAAAGGCACGCTCAGTTTTGACAAGTGCTTCTTGAAGTATCAAGACTTATCAACACAGCACGTTAAACAGAACTGACACTATGGTACAAATTGTTCACATCAACTAGGAATACAGCCCAGGGCTGTGTGTATGCCACAACTCCATTTAAGCAGGAAGAGGAACTTCAATGGGAAGTGTTACTGGGAACAGAATTCAAACTCAGCTTTTGAAAAGAAAGCTCTTAAGAATCACTACTATATGAAAATGAATGTAGACAACCTGGTCAAGAAGAAGTTCCTGTACAGGGAGTGAGGATTAAGTGCCATAGAGAACACCTTATCCTCCTCGAATATGAACAAATTGCAGAACTGTGCAAAATAAGATTTGCAAGTGGGAATCCACAAGGACTCGTGGAAGGCATCTCATTTCCCTCTTCCCCACTATTTCATACGAACA